TTTTTCCACCTTGCAGATCTGGTAGCATGCACGAGGGGAAAAAACCTCGTGTGGTGGACGGGTACGCCCTGCAGGGAGGGTCGCCCTGTTACGTTGCACCTTGGTGCGTTCGCATGCCCGCCACCCCTCCAGTAGCACGGGTGCATCGCCCATCGCCGGTGGTTCCGAGTCTGGCCTTTAAATTCAGGAAATCAAAAAAAGTACTGCTGACTTCTCTTTGTTGCTGCTGGTGTTGTGCTCGCCTCGGTAGAGTTATACAATAAGAGTTATACAACTCAACTCTCATCTGTAAAAAATAGAAAGAAAAATAAAAGATCACGTGGGATAGCCTGAAAATACTCTGCAATGCCCACGACCTACATCGGCAAGCGTAGTTGTATCCGCTTTCGTCATAACAGAGGCTACACCGCACTAAAGCCCATTCCGTCATCCAAACAGAGAATACATCTACTCACCACTCACAGTGATAGACACCAGGGTCTTCATCGCTGTGCACCACCTACAGATTAGAGCTGCTAGCAGTGCTTCGGGGACTGGTGACTACTTCTAAAGCACACACTTTCTCTCCTGGTATATATCCAACTCATGTAATAAATACTCGATTAACCAGTTAGCTCAGAATTCCATTCTCGCCAGCCCTTACACATCTGATTCCCATACCACACTTTTGCGCGCTTATATCGGCTCTTACTAGATCCCTTGTGATATAATCAGCGAAACCAGCCCCTGGTCGCTAGCCTGCTAAGTACAAATCTATCTACTCCCTACTCCATGTAATCGCTTGTCATCATCCTAGTTGCATCAGACGCCAAGTTTTTCTTTCTATGTATATAAATGCATATTATCCCATTTCATATCCCCTCAAACTCACTATGTTTTGCAAATCTCCTCCCATCCCCTCACCTTCCCAAGCCTTAAACTTCGGAAGTGCCCGCTTTGGACGACCTAATTAGCTGATCTCCACTCCACCTGGCCTATGATCTACAACTCCGGGATCACCAAACGGACCAAGAAAACCTGCAGTCCCATATCGGCTTCGTTCGAGCTTGTTTCCTCGACCAGGCTGAAATAAATACCGCTGCTCAATGAACTGCATACCCAAGACGAATTATCTCAAATGTTGACGTCCGTCACGGGGCTGTCCAAAAACTGAAGCATGTCAGGCCAATGATGGCACGGCACTGTCATACTCAGTTTGATAGCACACCCGCAACTGTTCCATTCCTCCCCTAAACCGTGCCCTCTTGCCTACTCGTTTCATTGACCCCAATCGACCACCATGACATTCATTCCAACCTATTGGACTACTCGTTCAAATTCAACCACCGCTGTGTTCCCATCAAACCTAACCCCTACACCTGACTTCCCAACAACAGAGCAACCAGTGAGTCTGCTTGTTTTCAGGTTGCACCATATTTTTGAGACTAAACTTGCCGTGTTCTCCCAATTCGGATTATCCCATCTCCACCTCCACTTTTGCTTGTTATGACTCCGGCCATTTACCCAACCGCCCAAGGTCACTCATGGCCAGCAATGGTTTTGCAGTTTTAGTTCATGGCAGCCAACGGAGTCACTGAATTACTCGGACCTCATGCCTATTGTTCACTACAGGTTGCAAGTGAAACATATTATTATTGTTATTGTTTAATCAAGTACCTCCCACTGTTTGTGACATTGTCCCCTTTTCGCGCAGTCAACACTTCCCGCAAATCCCTCAGTAATGCCCCATTCTGACTGTAAACGCATGATCATGCCAGACGGCATGCCACCCACAAGTTGAGAATAAACATTATTATTATTTGCTCTCCGTTAAACTGTTTTGTGACTGCTGAACCAGTTGGACTAGATCTCTGTGTTTGTGTGAGCTGTTAAACGTTACATTAACTCTCCGTGACGTTTTTTTAGCCGCGAATAACTTTCCTATCATGGAATATACCACTCACACGTGAATCATCGGTGAAAACCTTCTACAAATGAATATTTCCCTCACAGCCGGTTACTGCATTGGAGTCGGTGTGGTGTACTATTGGATCCACAATTTCGTGAGTTTTTATCGATTGCTTATTATTTTCTTATTGTGATTTTGTTACTTTGCCCGTTTATTTGACCCAACACGCCAATAACGTCCCAAGTCCGCTACATACTTGATGAGCCCTAATCTTTTCCTAATTTTTTCTCTGCAGTACTCCGATGTTTTATTATATTTATTTCCCACGTCCTCATCACTTCATCATGGCTTCTGAGCAAACGCACACACCCGAGATAGACAGAGTTGGTTATTTTAAGTTGCCTGAATTCGGTGATCGTGATCCTAGTCTATGGTTCGCTTGCATGTTCCGCGTCGCATTACATCCCAAAGCAGTAGACACAACCACGTGGTAGGCTGTTTACCAGATTTGTTGCCCGAGAAGTTGCTGACTTGATATACATTCGATCGTCCACCGATCCGTATGATGTTCTCAAAGCAGCTATCATTTCTCGCACCGCTTCCAGCGATGAACTGAATCTGCGAAAACAAATTTTCCGGTGTTGACGTCGACGATAAAACGCCGTCACAACATCTTCACCACACGATGCACCTGCAAGATTAACATCTGGTCAACGATAGAATTTTAAAAGAGCTTTGGTAACAAAGCCTCCCTGTTGAAGTTCGTAGAGTGCATTCTGTCATCGGAAGGGATTCTTTCTCAGAGAAGCTAGCCGAGGTGACGCTTGGTTTGCACTAAGACGGCTCGTTACTAAGGAATCCAGCTCAACAACATCCCATTTCAGCGCTCTCAACACCATCTACTTTGTTAGCCCTCAGTATCCGCAACATAAATTCTCTACAATTTCTACGCTTCGTGAACATCCCAAACATCGTTAACTGGCTCCTCGCAAATGAGAGTCTGCTAGTTTACCCCAAACCCCATCTCTGGATGCAAGTGGATGTCTTGGAATTCTTCACTTGCCACTTATAATTCATGCTGTGCTGCATCAGAAATCAACGAAATATCCCTATCCGTGTCGACCTCCGTAAGGCACCACAATCATATTTGGTCGTTCCCACCCGCAAACCTGGTAAACAGCCGTCATCTTACTGACGATACCACTCTGAAAAAGTTGGCACTTAATCCAAAATTTGAGGCACACATTTTCCCGACGCTAACTTATTCAGAAACGCAAACGATGGAATGCGGGCTACCGTCACCGCGCCACAGGTGAAATACTTGCTAACTCAACCCACGACAGCGAGGCGCTGCATACTACTAACCATTCATGAAAGACAGAATATGCCATTTGTGTGTGAAATTAACCACGGAGGGAACGACCAGTGTTCCTTTTATTGGAGGGCATGTAGTAGATCACGCGTCACAAACACTCAAAAAACGTGACATTTCCTCAGCCGACAATATGTACACTACAATGTTCTATCCATTTTTGTTTTTGCAGCTGCCACCCACATACACGTCAGGCTCACAAACGTCAGCCACATCAGGTTAAGATTTATTCATGTTTGAGCAACCGCGAAGGGACATCCCTT